ATATATATGACACATTCTGCAGTTCTTCCCTTCTGTACCGAATATCGATACTTTTCAAAGTATCATATCGAAGTTAGAAATTCAAATATTGTGACGAAATTAATTTTGTAGGGTGCCACAAGTTTGTTAAAATTTCCAAAGGGTGCTGCGACTAAAAAAAGGTTGGGAAACACTGCTCTAGGCTATGCAAGACACTAAGTACTCCAAAAATATACTGAAATTTCACATTGTAAAAATGTTGTCATGTTTTGTTGAATATCTATTGACTGATTGATTGATGCTTATTTATTTATTTATTTACAGTAGTATTTGAAAACTTGGGGTCAGTAAGATTTTTTTATGCATTTTTTAAAGAAATGTTTTGGTCAACAGTGCTACATTAATTTATTCAATAAGTCAGTAAAAATAGTAATATTTATTACAATTTTAAAAAAGTTCAGTTTTAATATTAATTTAATACATTTTAAAACAAATTATTTCTGTGATGGTAAAGCTGAATCCTTCAGAAATTATTCTAATATGCTGATTTGCTGCTCAAGAAACATTTCTTATTATTATCAATGGTGAAAACAGTATTTTTGTGGAAACTTTTTTCAGGATTCTTTGATGGACAGAACATTCAAAAGAACAGCATTTATTTTAAATAGACATTTTTTAAGCATTTTGCCAACAATGTAAAAGTCCTTGCTATCACTTTTGATCAATTTAATGAATCTTTGCTGAATATATTAATGTATTCATTTATTTATTTATTGGTACTCTATTTTATTTATGACACCTTATTTTTTATATTATTTTTTAAAACATTATCATTATTATAAGTAGCTGTAGTATTTCTTTAAAAAATTTTGTCACTGCTTTTGTTGTGTGAGATGCATTGGCAATATTGTATGTATAGTATTCATGCTTTAAAAAATTTATTTACTTTGAAAAGTACTTTGAAATGTAAATGTAATTGTTAACAACAATTAGTAACAGTCATTATGCAAGTGAAAAATATTTTTAATATGAACCTGACTACCTGCGTTGAAGGAGCCTTGGAGTAAAGGGGCTCACCCATAAAAATATTGTCCCGGGACCCTGTGAATTTTAGCAGTGGCCCTCATTTTTTAATGATCTGATCAGGTATAAATAGTTCTTTCCACTTTTTAATCTACATATAGTTACATATGGTCTTTACTATTCATGTGCATAAACACGTGCTTTCGTGTGAAAAATACAAAGCACAATGGCTGATTCAGATAAGTTTGAAAAAACAGTAGCACAGTAGCACATACAAGCTTTTGTGAGACAACATGTTCTTAAAAGACTCTGGCATTCAAATATCTCACAAACACACAGAGAGAGAGAGAAAATGAGTCACTAAGAGCTTTTTCACAGGAGCTCACTATGAGATGCCAACTTCATCAATCCATCTATTTAAACTGCTCATGTCTGCAATGCACTGACTGAAAACACCATTTAGCCAATAGAAAAATTAGACAGAGAGAAAGAAAAAGTGCAGATGAAAGGACAAAGAGATGTACAGTGAAGTGAGTGGGGTGTCTGTATTATTAGAGGGCTGAATGGTCTGTGGGGAGGAGAAAGGTCATTATAACAGTTATAATATCAGAAAAAAAGGGGGCAGAGAGTTGGGAAGGTTGGGGGGGGTGGTGGCTGAGAGAGTCAGAGAGAGACAAAGGTTACACAACAAATTATTCACCCCTCCGCTGGCTCTATTCTACACCCCTTTGTTAAGCATAAATGCAGCTTGGCAGGGTCCACAGAAGGCTCTTCAATTCACAGTGACAACTCAAAAACAG